CGAAAGGTGGTGGTGGAAAACCCTTTGTCCAGGGGTGGACACACACACACATATTTATCTCCCCAAAATGAATGGCTGGTTGGGTAGGGACATTTTGGGATTTGAAACATGTAGGGGTTACTCCTGATCTTGATGCCATTTTGGCTCAAGATCGGGAGGGAAGTCTTTTTTCCGCCATGCCGCGCATCACGCGGTCGACTCCGGCGGTTTGGAACCCCGGGGCTCGACGTTGGCGCCGCGCGCATAGGGGATCGGACCCCTCCAATCTGTCGCCTGAAGAGCGACGAGCTGACCTTGGCGCGAGGTCAGCCTATATATTGGCCGTGTGGGCATCTATTGAGCGCCGGCCTGACATTGAAGCAGATCACTGCCGGTGCTGTGGGGACTACACGGCCTCGTGGTGTGAGGGCTGCTACGCTCGGCAGCCCGACTCCTTCGGTGCGGTGTGCACCGCCTGCGATCGGCTAGAGCTGGTCTGTGACCAGTGCCGGTTTCGCGGTGTCACGTGGCATCAGGGCCATGCCGCGTACCTCGACCAAGGAGGGCACGACACCGAAGACCAGGTCGAGATCTCCGGGTGGGGTGACAGGTCCAATCCACCCCATTTCCAAGATGCCACCGGCCAGGTCCCCATTGAGGAGGTCGCGGAGGTCCTCGGATTGTCCGTCGAGCGGACCAGGGAGCTCATCATTGAGCAGTTGTCCAGCTCCCCCCAAGCAGCCTCCGGTAGCTCCGCCCCGGCTGCCGGCCCTGTCCCTCCGCCAGGCCCGCCTCCAGATCGCCGACGGCCACGGTCGCCATCTCGTTCGCCTGCCGGGGTGCGGTGTCAGGTGATGGCCATTCGGCAACCAGACCAGGCCATGGAGGCAGAGCTTTTGGAATTGGTCGCTGACCACTCCGATGCCCTGGTATCATTGTTTTGTCACAATGGTGTACAAACCTGCCAGGACGTGGTGGGCATTTGGGACACTGGAGGCGCTTTGGTGGAAGAGCTGGAGGCCAGGCAGAGGGCCCTAGGCTCGGAGGAGACCTTTCAGGTCAGCGCCCTATGGACATTGGCGCATCGTCGAGCCAATGATCATCACCGACGGGTCTTGCAGGCCGTGGTGGGCAATAGGCGCTCTGTGGTGGAGACCCATTCGGTGGTGGCCCCGCCGTCCGAGGAGGGCCCCAAGGCCGGGTACGGCAGCTCCTGGCGACCGGGATCCCAGGGCGGCCACCGATGCTGCATTCGGCCGCGGCATCGGACCCACACACCAAAGAGGTGGCAAAGAAGGCCACGAAGACGCAGGCCCTATTTGATGTTTTGGTGACCAATTTCCTCAACCTGGAGGAATTGGGTGTCACCTGGGCTGACCTTGGAGACCCGGTGCGGCTCCAACAGCTCAAGGACCAGGTGATGCAGACCACGGGGAGGCTTACAGAGCAGCGCATTGGAGCATTGCTGGCAGCTTTGAGACGGTGGCTACGCTACGCAGCCAGCAAGCAATATACAGTCAATGCACCCACGCCGCTTCAACTGGGTGAGTTCTTGCGCATGGTGGCCCAGGGTGGCCCAACAGCAGCATCATCCATGTATCAGGCCCTCAAGTGGTTTCGCCTGAACTTTGGCCTCCCCTTCAACACGGATCATTGGTTGACCCAGCCGTTTCGGTTGTTGCCCCCTGATCATCAGGTGCAGCAGAGGACGGAATTGCAGCCATGGGAGATGGTGAATCTCCTTTTGATGATGAAGCAGTCCTCCGGTACGCACCTGTTGATTTTGACATTTTTGGCGTGGGCCGCCGTATCTTGCGTGCGCTTTGAACATTTTCAAAGGTCACATTACATTGAGGCGCACCCGCAATGTTTGATCTTTGAGTGCTCACAAGGCAAAGCCCGGCGCAAAGGAGCGCGTCCGCCTTATGCCTGGGCCATGCCTGAGCTTGAGTTTCAAGGCCTCAGCTTGCAGCGTATCGTGCGGGACTTCGTGACTGTTGAGCTGGACCCGGCACGGAATTTCCTGTGGCCCTCGTTGCAACTGAGCGCTGATGACCTCTGGGAGGTCACGGAAAATACGGCCTGGCTCATTGACCGCAAGATGTCCAGGGGCAGGTATTTGGAGTTGCTACGTGGTGCCCTCCTCACTATGAATGTTGACCATGCCCAGGCCCGCAGTGCAGGGTACAATCGACTACGTCGGTTCTTGCCGACCATGGGGTTGGTGTGTGGCTTGCAGCCATCTAACCAACAAGCCGTGGGCAACTGGCAGGAGATTCCGGGTGCAGGAGGACCCCAGCCGGTGCGGAAGAGCAAGGCTACATGGTCTATGGGCGTGCATTATGCAGGTCAACGAGTGATTCACTCGGCAGCTGTCAAACGCGCCCTGATCCAGAGGTTCCTGCACTTGCTGCGCCGCAAACTCCCAGAGTTAGCTCTCAATGCCCAGGGTCTCGTGGCCCGTGACGCCTGGACCTGGCAGGAGCTGGCCCAGATGAATGAGAGCTTCGGCCCGCTGGAGGCAGCCTTGGCACAGGATCCTGGGTGGTCCCCTTCGCCTGAAGGCGCTGCGGCGGCTGCAGCCTCGCAGGTAGCAGCGGAGGCCGACCAAGTGAAGGACGAGGAGATGGACAACGCCACACCGCCCGAGCCCAAGGAGGATGATGACGTCCAGTCCGTTTCATCGTCTACGACCTCCTCCTCAGCATCAGACTGTTCAGCCATGGGCAGTGACTTGGAAGGCGTGTTGGCCGAGGCTAGTGCGGAGGCAGAAGCGAGATGGTTCATTCAGAGCCGGCGGGTCCACATCGTCAGCGGCATGGTGGAGAATCG